AGTTACTAATAGGTATTTGGAACAATATCTTAGAGCCTTTTGCTTTGATGAGAATCACAAGTGGTCTCTTTATTTGAGTTGGGCTGAATTACACTATAACACAGCCCACCATTCTTCAATTGGTATGAGTCACTTTCAGGATTTGTATGGAAAAATGCCAACAGTAATTCCTTATTATCCTAAGGGGCTGGTCCGAGTAGAAGCTGTGGACACAGCACTAATCCACCGAAATGACTTGCTTGCTCAACTTAAGCATCATTTGCAAGGAGCTCAAAATAGAATGAAGATTCAAGCGGATAAACATAGGAAGGATATTTCTTTAGCAGTGGGGGATTTAGTTCTTGTGAAGTTACAACCCTACAGACAGCTTACAGCAGCAAGGAGGTCCAATCAAAAGTTGGCTAAAAGATATTTTGGCCATTTTCCCATTATACGAGTCTTGAGTCCTGTTGCTTACCAACTACAGCTACCCGAGGGTTGTAAAATACACTCATCTTTCCATGTTTTAGTGTTGAAGCCATTTAAGGGTGATCATCATGATTTAATTCCAACCTTACCTGAGTTAAATCATGGAAACTGCCCTGTACAGAAACCAATTGCAGCCTTGATGTCTCGACAGGTAGCTGAGGAATAAAACTGGCACTCAGTGGTTAATACAATGGTCTCATGCTCTACTAGAAGATTCATCTTGGGAGGATGAGGCTGACCTTAAGCTGCACTATCCCCAGTTGAACCTTGAGGACAAGGTTAATTTGGATGGCAGGGGCAATGTTACGAGCAAGAGAAAGAGAAGAGCTCTAGCGTGGTCTAGGGACTATGTGGTGAATGTATAAATGTGCAATTGTGTGTATCAATAGTTGTGAGTTGTATATTAGTATATCAATTAGGGCATTTTAGTAATAGCTGAGATATTGTAATAGGAGGTGGCAGTTAGTTAGCTTTCCATGTGCCAATTGGTTAGGAATGTGCATGATGTTAGTTGAGGTGCCATCCTATAAAACAGACATCAGACATCTGTAATCGAAGAATTGATATTGAGATTAATAAAGTGCTTGTGAATTTCTTAAATTCTGTTCCTTGTGTCTCTGTTCTCTGGTAGGGTTCTCAACCCTTCATAACTCTTTAAACAGGTCAAATCTTATGATATAGTTGGGTCGCCACTAGATCAATAACTCTTAATAATGTATAAACATGCATGATCACTTGTGGCCAAGGACGTGGAAGGAGTTGAAGTAGAGTTTTCATTTTGACAGCCCCACAAGACCCAATATACACAAACTTGCTTAGTGATGTTGCAATTCAACGGAATAGTTGCCACAAACCCCCCGTATTTCTATGCAGCAGCACACAATTGAGAATATTCCCAAAACTCCCATTTTTGCGCAGTCAAAGGAGCTTTTTCTTTCGTGATGAGGATTTAAATACCAAAATGGTGAAGATGTTGTTAATGATAGAGTGTGACTTTCACACAATAATTTTCTTGAACATTAATTACTTCTTTTATAATAGAATAATGAATGCATTAATTTGCAAACTAAGCCACTATCCATTAGTTTATGTTCCTTCTGGAAAAAGGACGTAGAAAATCTATTAAATCTGTTTTTCTTTCTCATAAATCATCTCCTTTTTAATGCAAGATATAAACATTTTATATTCATGTATCAAACAAATATTTTACTCTCGAACATTTAAGATGTTAAAAGCATATTTAAATACATGTAAATTAAATAAATACTCTTACTTTTAAACCAAAAACAATTTTTTTACAGTAAAAAATATATATCGTTGAGTTTACCTCAAGTAAAAAATTAAATTTGCCCTGAAAAAACTTCACGAAATTGCCTGTATACTACTGAAGGTGAAGAAAAAATATATTTTAGATTAATTATCGTGGATTTCACTACTCACACTTCAACTCCCAATAATATTAAATTGGAGCCGCTAATTCTCTCATTTGCATGTAACTAATGAATCACATGTCTCATTTTCATGTATAAAAAAAAATGAATCACATGTCTCATTTTCATGTATAAAAAAAATGAATCACATGTCGTAGATGTAAATAGAATTCAAGTCAAAATTAAATATAACACTTACACAATATATATATATATATATATATATATATATATATATATATATATATATATATATATATATGGGGTAATTTTCAAATATTGATGTCAGCAGTTAAATTAAACCTTTTCAGAATGTATAACTTAGACTAAACCCAAAGCACACCAAATTTCAATTTTCAAATCTTATACGCCACCTACATAACTTCATATCAGGCCAAGTTAGGTCATCAATTACCCAATCAATAGTATTAGAATAATATTCATTCATAGCTAAAATATTCAACTTCCAAAAAAATCCTTGACCACAAGAGTAACTTACCTAATTTCTTGGTATTAATTTAGAGCAATGATCCACTAGTCTTGAATATGTCCAAACAATGGTGGGTTAAAATACTTTAAGGAATTCATATAAAAAAGGAGAAGCTAAAGGAACTTGGTAATTATAAATAAAATAAAATAAAAAGCGCAAAAGAAAAGAGTTAAATTGAAAGTAATATTATATATATGTATGTATGGAGAATGATCTGTTTACAAATTACATTAAATATGATCGGTCATACATTCTTGATTGAAATATGACCTGTCATACTTAGTGTAGTTTGTAAATAAAAAATTTATAAATATAATAACCTTCCCCTATATATATATGGGTTCGCATTTTCTGCAATTTATGTAGATAAGTTATCTACAGTAAACTCAATACGAAGTCGTTTTGGGACGAAAATCATGATGTATTTATAATTTATAATTTATTTCAGGGTTATTATAGTCTTTATAATTATAATTTTTTAATATTTCAATCCCAAAATGACGTCGTTTTGGAAGTAAATGCAAATAACTTATCTGCATTAACTGCAAAAATATTAAATATTTATATATATATATAGGGAATTGTTTTCTTATGTTACATAAGATAAAAATAACTTTTCTACACTCACATATAAAAAAATGGGACCCATTATATATTTTCTCTCTCCTATATTCTCTCTCATCTCTCTTCTATATATGTGTGTAGAAAACTTGTTTTACCTGACATGATTATCATTATTAGCTATGAACTCTGGGCAAAAAAATTAAAATATTACACTTTTAATAATTAAATACGAATAGGTTGCAGTTTGGAAACTATCTACGGATCTATTGCAGTCATTCACGCCCAAAATGGGCGGGACAATTCACGCCCATGCAAGGCGTGAATTCCACGTCATTCACGCCCAAAATAGGCGTGACTAATCACGCCCCATGAAGGCGTGAATCAAGGGAAATTCCAGCCCATTTTGGGCGTGACTCAGCCCCTTTTCCAGCCCCCTTTGGGCGTGAATGGCACCTATTTTTTCTATATATACACCTCTCATCTCCACATTCATCACAACTCTTCTTCATCTTAACTTCTTAGTCTTCGATACAGTCTCACTTCCTTATGCATACTCTGTTTTGTGTTTTTCTTTATTAATATAGTTAAGAATGAGTTCACATTCTGATTTTGTTCGTGCTGTTTTATATTATAATGGTAGGAAAATGGAAGGTCGACGTGGTGTTATTTTTGAAGGAGAGAAAAGGCCAACACGTATCATGCGGAACTCAACAATTAGCGAAGTACATCAAAAAATTTGTCAAAAGTTAGCGCTTGAAGGTAAACAATCTATCAATATGGTCACTGCAAGAATATGGTGTGAATCACAATACATTAGTATGCAAGTTTTGACGATGAAGACGTAGAAATGGTAATCGGAGAGTTTTTCAACCAGTCAAGGAAAGATTTTTTAGAGTTATACGTGGATATTGCCGAAACAGAGGATGTTGCTATACCCGTGAGGTCAGTTGATTTAAATTTTGCACATAATGCATCATCATCTGCTGCTCCTGTTGGTAATCTGTCTGAGGAAGGAGAAAATCATCTTGTCTGAGGATGACGTTGATGAAAATATTGCAATGGAAGATCAACTTCTTGCTGAGGATGCTAGCGCTTCAGACAACGATGATGAATGTGGTATTCCTGACACTCAAATCCTAGAATATAATGTTGTGGGTGAGTCTCATGTCCAGGAACATGATAATGCCGCGTCCACTCAATTACCGCCAATTTTGGAAGGTAAGTAAGTAAATGGCTGAAAATATACATTTATATTTGCAGCTTTTTGGGTTTTAATGTTTAATTTTGTACTTGCAGGTGACGATGTTGTTCCATTTTGGAAAGACATTCCACATTACACATACATTAATTGGGATCATCCGAGGGAGCAAGATTTAAGTCACGACGGTTCAAGTTTTGGCTCAGGCTCAGGTTCAATTAATGGTCCGTGGATCTTAGGTAACAAATTGTATGTTAAGCAAGAATTTGAATCAAAAAAGGAGGCGCAGATGGCAATTAAGAGAAACCTAATGAAAGAGCATCAAGAAGCGATCGTCCTTGAGAGCACGCCTACCAAATTAAGTATGAAATGTTGCAAGTATGAACAGGGTTGCCCGTGGAGGGTTAGGGTAATAAAACCAGCATACGGTGAAAAATGGAAGGTTACTAAATGGGGTGGAGACCACGATTGCTTGAATGATCATATTTCTCAGGGTCATAGACAGCTTGATGCCCATGTGATTGCTTCACTCGTACTAGGTATGTTATTATATTATTGCCTATTTTGTCAAGGAAATTGAATTTATAGTTAGGGTTTAAGGTTTAATGTCAAACTACAATAAGTGCAAGTAAAGGTTGAAATTTAATAAGACAATGCCAATAAATGAAAAAATTTAATAAGACAAGGTTTAATAACGCTTGCCTCGTAGCCTATACCAATCCATATACTCGTGGTTTGGTGACATCAGCCCTGCCAATGGGGGAGGAAATTGTCCTATGTGTTGAGCCCTTATCTGCCATCTATGTATAAATGGCCTGAGCTTAACTTTCCAGTTATCAGGCCATTTACCTCAAAGCGTGTGATCATGAACTCCTTTGAGCTTTCTAGGCCTCAAAGGGATCGACTGGTCTAAACCAAACTGTCTCAAGCATCTATCTGGTTGGCACCGCTCAACATGATGAAAACATATGATCGGTGTCCTAGCCAACCAAAGATATCGCTCATCTGCAGGTATGTCCAAGAAATGATAGTCTCCGTACGGCTGCCAAACAACCTACAAAAAATATGATGAATTTCCATAACGTAATAATTTGGCAGCAAATGAAAATAATAATCATAATTTGTCCAAAAAAATATAACATACCTCGTCCCTAGTCAACGTGTCTAGAGTCCCCCGATATAGAAGCTGATGCTGTGGTTTAAAGCGGGCTAAACCATTAAACCTGCTATGGGCAAAATGAAAATATGCACGATTATTAATAATTTGTTACAGATAAATTACAATAATTTGTTACACATAAAGTTCTGTATAATTCAAGTACAAATGACACATATTGGTGCCCGAAGTGCCACTCTGGGTGGGTAGGCTGAAAAAAAGGAGGAGCAATAGGAGGAAATCTAGTCCACGCCCATATCTGGAGCAGTATATGACATCCACCCATGTCTGATCTGCGGTGGTCAGTAAGCTCGCATAATTGTCTAAAAAAATGTGCGAGAACAGCAGATCCCCAACTGTATAGTCCAATCACCAATGTCATCGAAACTTCCTGCAAGCAACGCAATGTAGCGACATCCGACGATGCTACCTCCAGATTTGTCGCATAGAAGCCATGATCCCAACATACGCGTAATGTGTGCCTTAGTAAAATATAAAACCTGTTGTGGATCCGCAGCAACGGCAGCCCAATGTGCATAATGTCTGTCTAAATATGCGAGCTTGACATCCCCGTACGGCTGCTCTGAAACGAGCGGGGCGTGACCAAGCACCTCTCCGCACAGAACTCGCCAGTCCATGGATGTAGCACCCGTAACCACTTTCCCATCAGTCGGCAATCCCAATATAGCCGCAACATCCTGCAACGTAATGGTCATCTCGCCTTACGTCATGTGGAACGTGTGTGTCTCTGGTCTCCACCTCTCCACCAGAGCACTGATCAGCACAGTGTCAATCTAAAATAAATGCAGACATTTATTATCAAAATAAACTTGCTTAAGCATACACTTAGTTTATAACATTTATTATTAAATTAAAAGTCACATGACCGGTACTTTCTTATATGCGTACCTGAATATGCCGCATGCGGGCAACATGCAGGAAGCCAGCCTGCTGCAGGTATCTGCCACGACATCAGGAATATCATCAGGAGATGGACCCCCATTGATAACACCGCGTCGTATCTTGCACTGGCGACACTTCTCCTCGTTCCACACAACCTGTGAAACGTGTTTGTGCTGCGTGCGCCTCCTAAGTACGTCCCACCTGTATGGTCCTGGAAGCACATGCGTCCTGGGATCCGAAGGCTCGGCCTGAGTCTCAGTATCGGATAGAGACCGAGGTGACTCCGACGATGACGAGTCAGCCATAATAGTGTACTATACAGAATAATAAATTAATTGGTTTCATTAATATATTCAAAAGTCATTACATTAATTACATGTGTTACAAAAATTAACTAATTACATGTGTTGCACAAAAATTTTAATTTACATGTCCTTTAAAAAAATTAATTACTTGTGTTACAAAAAATATTAAATTACATTTGTTACAAAAAAAATGGCAATTTACATTTGTTCACATTCACTATTTTATTCCACAGTCGCTATTATATTTCTAAGTCACTATTATATTCCTAGGGTTTAAGACACTATTATTAACATATTCCTAGATCACTATAATAACAGTTATATGCGCAACACCCTAAATTACTATTATAACATGTATCATATTATAAATAACTATTTGATAAAACAGATATTAAGACTTACTTGTTCGACAGGGCTTCGCCGCGCAAAATGCTCCCCAAATAATCTAGAGAGAAGGCAGAGCAACTTTAGAGAGAAGGAGTGAGAGGGAAAAGTGGCAATTTTGGCGTTTATATAGGGCAAGCAATTCACACCTGGCTTGGGCGTGAATTGTCACGCCTCCTTAGGGCGTGAATTCAGGACAATTTCCGCCTCAATTGGGAGTTTGAAATCTGGCTTACTTGCTATGAAGAAATACGAAATGGAAGTATTTCACCCCGCCTGAACTGAAGTTTGAATATCTTAATAAGGGCAGTGAGTACATGCGTGGTGGTTATCCTCAACCAGTATATTGAGATTTAGGGACTTCAGAGGGTACTATTGAGATATATACTGATTGGAATGCTAACAGTGATGGAAGTATTAGATGTGCTTCAAAAGAAATGAGGGGTTATGGTGATTATGTATTGGAGTTGAAGTCCATACTTCGAAATGGATGGATTTCTAAGTTGGAAGCCAAAACTCGTGACATGCTGAAGAAATTTTGCAAAATTAAGCACAAAACTCTTCAGAAAGAAGCAATATTAAGCAGCAAATCTATGATAAGAGCTGCTTTTAGAGATGGCACAAATGATAATAACATATATGGTCCAGTGTCAAGTGACTTGTCAGAAGAAGAGCTATTTCTCTTCCAACAACATTGGATTAAAGGTGAACCAATCATAGTTTGGGATGTTCTTAAACTAGGGACAAGTCTGAGTTGGGAGCCAAAGGTCACTTGGCTAGCATTATGTGAAAATTTGGATTCATGGAACAACTCAAATGCGTTAATGAATCAAGATTGGTTCTCGCTACGCAGTGAACCAACGAGTTTTACTTGTTTGTCTTATTCAATCAATGCTTTCACGCTCATTTGGGATATTTAATCGATTAAATATAAGTTTTAATCGATTAAATATCCTTCTTAATCGATTAAAAAGAGGATTTAATCGATTAAATCTCGAGTCAACCATTTTTGCCTATTTTGACCATTTAATCGATTAAATATTCAAATTAATCCATTAAAGAGGGGCAGATTGGTGGATAGTTTTGAATAAGGGAAAAATGGTTATTAATTAATTAATGAAGGGTAAAAGAGTCAAAAAGCCTCAAACCTAGCTTAGTAAAAGATCCTCGCGCAATTGAATTAAAATATATTATCATTAGAAATTGTATGTTATATCTCCATACACAAAGCATAAGTTAGAATTCAGATTACCATAATTATTTTAAATGATAGCAACATACAAATTTAACCCTATAATTTGGTACAAATTTATTGAAAATAATCACCATTAGTCCACTCCAATTCAAGTAAATCAAGAATCACTTCAGGCTCATAACCATACAAAGCTAAGTCAATGGTAATAAGAAATGAAAGAGAAAAAAATATTACGATAAATAATAATAAAGTAGTAAGGGTAAGAAGATTAAATAAGTAGATAATATAATCGTTCCTAAATAAAATATACTAAAATTTCTGAGAGTTTTCCCAATATCTCTAATATCCCAAAATCATAAACACTTGTTATATGCAAGGTATACATCACCAAACAACAACAACAAAATATATTGCCTAGATGATTTTGCCAACAAACTTTCAATAACTGTAAATTGTTCAAAGTTTCCAAATTTCAAAACAAATATATATATATATACATATATATATATACACATATATATATATACATATATATATATATATGAGACATGATCCTTTGACACCAATGTCAAATTTGAAATTTGACACCTCATCTGAGAGACGTTAGATCAAAAAAGATCAATGGTGTCACATACTTACAAATCAGAGTCGTTGATCTTTTTTGATCTAACAACTCTCAGATTAGGTGTCAAATTTCAAATTTGGCACTGGTGTCAAATGATCGACCTATATATATATATATATATATATATATATATATATATATATATATATATAACCAAAGCATAGTTACCAAAATAAGCTACAAGATGAATTGTCTCTCCTGGCATATTAATATTCAACTACCCGGTGATTTGGATGAAAAATAAAATAGGGGTAAGTCACACACTCACACTCAATAAAGGTATAATAATCACAATGAACAAAAGAAGAAAGAAAGCATGCACAAGTAATTTTATCTTTTCATATATAAGCTATAAACATATTAGGATAAAGAAAGTTAATAAAATATGTGTGTAAAAATAAATCAAAAAATTTATAAAGTAATGTACGTGTCATTTACAAAACAAAAAATAACAAGATAAAATAAAAATCGTACAGATCACATATGAGATAATCAAATTTAGGGCAGCCTTGCTAATAGTCCTTTCCTCCAAAGGTTGGTCTTTTCCTTGACTCCATCTAATGGGTAGCTGCCCTTTCTTTTCTTAATTCAAGTTAGATCATAACATCACATTGGGAGTGACTCTATCTCACTAATAGCCCTTTCTTCAAATGAGTGACCTTTTCTCACGGTTCCATCTAATAGATAGCACTCTCCTTCCAGGATAAAGTATTCATATAGAAAACTATGTCTATATAGACCGGTACCCCCGCTAACGGCTATAGGATTTAAACATGAATACGAAATATATATATATATATATATATATATATATATATATATATGTTGGAATTTTGGGTCTAAATCTCATAAGTTATGAATAAGAAGTTTGGTAGTGAAAATGTGTTTCTTTTCATCGACAAACAAATATATCTTTTCATCCTAACGGATGTGTTGTTTCATCCTAACGGACGTGGTATTTCATCCTAACGGACGTGGTGTTTCATCCTTGAATAAGTATCTTTTCGTGTTGAACGAATGTGTCTTTTCGTGTCCAACGGATGTGTTGTTTCGTCGTCGAATAGGTACCTTTTGAAACATGACCTTATGTTTTCTATATATAGACCCTGACCCCTTCATAAAATATTATTCAGTTTTCTGCAATGTTACTCTACCGGATTTTTTCCTTCATCCGATTTGGCATACTTCTTTCTATTTTTCCGGTGTAATTCCTCTGGCATCTTGTTGTGTTTGTTCGGGCTGTTGACTGGTAGTGCCACCATTCTTCAGACGTAATTCGTTCTATCATGGGAGACAAGTGTCCATCAACCTTCGGCATCAGTGAGGGGACAAATTGTCTTAAGGAGACACATTCTGTGGGGGCACAAATTTTCTACACTACCCTGCATATATTTATCTGTCTGTTCCATTATACCTACATCAAGTAAGTCTGTTCTAATTTTCCATAATTGCACTGTATATGATATTTCAGATCATTATCACTTATGTTCTATACATGAGTTCAAACCTCTTAGTGATGTAATATCACCCACTGCCTTCTATAACAATATATATATTTTAATAATCAACCTTTGATTTTAAATCAATCCATTTTCAATGATAAGTAAAATTATCAAATCTTGTACTTTTTAATCTAATATTTCATATTTGAATTCAATCTAACATTTTAAAACAATTATTAATATCACAAATCATAAATATGATGCTATTAAGAAAAAAATACACAACCTATAAATTTAAAATATAAGTATTTGGCTATAAAAAAATATATAAGAATTTAACCAATCATAATATAAAATATTTGTTTCCTAGTGCATAAGCTATTAAACAATAGTGATACAACGAAATTTAAAAAAAAATATGAAAATGGTAAAATGTGTCTTCATAATCATTATCCATTGAAGTTGACAAAAAATACTAAATTTATACCCAAAGCTCCAAAGTAATCCTTCATACAAGTTGCTAGGAGTCCCTCTAGTTGAATGAATCAATAATCAATAGAAGTCTCAATAGAAGTTTATCGTCTACCTAAAATAAACCTATACAAAATATAGATTCTTCAAATTTTTTGAATTATGGACTCAACTCAAAGTAGAGGTGATAATTTTCAATACGACCCGTTGACACAACACGAGAAATTCGTGTTCGGATCAATCTATTTTTTCATTGAAGTCTTGTCGGCAAAAGTTAATACAAAAAAACTCGTGTCGCATTATATATCAACTCGCAAACATGAAATTGATGCGTGTTAATCTTTTCATAAATTATTTGTGTTGTATCTTATTGCATGTATAATAAATGATA